TCTTTTTTTAAATCAGCCTATATATTTCTTGGCAAGCGGCTTATCACGACCATTTATTCGAAGCAACGAACACTTTGGCGAGTAAACATACGTGCAATCGACACATCAAGCTTATCGGAGCTTTAATATCATTTTCAACGAGGTAGTTACTGAGGTATACTGCACATATCGCGTTTAAAAAAGGAAATAAAACATTAGGATCATAAATCGAGATTTTTATGCCTACCAACAGTGACACGAACGGGCATTTGTTGTTGAATAATTTCTAGCAATACACAAGTTTGCAATCAATATAGTTTTATATAATGGACTGGTGTATCGCATAGAGCGAACTATCGTCTCGTGATAACGAGGTTGCGCTTCACAAGCATCGTTATTGCGCGTGAATATAATTACGTCACAAAGCTAACATTGTTCCTTCCGCTTCAGACTTTCAAACTATACCAACATTAGGCGTTGGCCAACAGAGTTAAATTTTTAAATTGCATAAACTGTAATTGCGAATAAAATACTTCATGCTATGTTGAGCTTTCACCGTAACTTTTTGCAGTACTCTGCATGATTCCGCGAAATGTGTAATCCTGCAACGGTTGATTGTATACAGAATTAATATACCTGTTTTAATTACAAAATGTAACATTATAGAAAAACAAGTTTTTATATAACGTTCTTTAATTATTTTACAAAACATTTAAGAAGAAACCTGTATAATTTACATTTTACGTAATAAATATTCGACAATATTCAAAATAACGAAACATTTTGTTAAATATCATGATGTATGCAACTAAAATGCTATTTTTCGAAGATGATCACAATTCTATTCTTTGATCGGACGACTTAGAGCGACGCGAACAACTTGGTGTGTTCAGTTGATAAATGCCTCGCAACAAGTACCTGCTATTATTTCTTTGTGTACGACTGCGTGTCGTAACCACTTCTATGTACGCGCGACAGTGTTTGCGCATACACGCAACACTACATTGTAGCCATAATTCTTAGCGATTCTTATTTCTCGCGTATTGCAACAGACCGGCCTACGCGCTCGGTAAGGCTTTCCGTGCAAGACCGCGGTAAGTTCTTTGATGTCTTTGTATCGCATGGTATATATAATCTTCGTAATAATTTGATAAGCACACTTTCCTTGTAGCCAGCTTGACTAACTGATCAGAACCGAGTTGGAATTGTGCGGATTGCGTGAGTGCGATGACCGCGATCAGCTGTTTTATACACGCTCACACATCCCGCAACTTTACTTTTAAAGATAGATTTTCTATGGAATTTGGAGTCTCCCTCTCTAGAAAAAATTGTGATCTATAATTCGATTTTTATAATGAATGGTTAATTAATAAAACTTGGTACATCGTTAATAAATCTTTTCGTCTATTCCAAAGCGCGGGCGAAAGTTAAAGAGCGACTCGGCAGAACATCGAAGAAGATTAGAATGAAAATCGACTTTCTTTAGCAGTTAGCGCACTCTAACACTCTTGGGGAGGGGTAGCACACAGCTCGCGGCTCTTTGGCGGTTGTTTTGTTTCTCGGGAATTCTGCAACGATCAGCGCGTGAGCGGTGCAACCATGCGATTTTCCGTGTATCGCTCGGCTAGAGCGCAGCCTGCAATTATCGTGTGAACGAGGCCGAACCTCGCCGATGGCTTTATTTCGTACTTTAATGACTATTCTTTCGAAGTTCTATGAATGCATGCGAAATGCGTGACAGCCGTCCGAATTCCCCTCGGTAATGAATTGAGCGATAAATCTGATCTGTGAGAAGATATTGCGATAAGCGAGAACTCGGTGAGAAAATCGACACTGATTACATCTTGCCTCAGCACCAGTTCGAAAAGCACTTTCCAGACTTCTCGAACACTTTTCTCCGTCAGAAATTCTTCGAAACAGCGACACAATTTATCTAACACGCGCCTTTAACGCGATTTCTCCGCGCTTCATTTGTATCGGCGCTTACTGTTTCTCGTCACGAACCATCGCGTCCGATTTTTCTTTTTCGGTGTGTCCGTGCTGCGCTTCGGTTTGCGCGTGCAATTGCCGTGCGAACGAGGTCGCGACTTATGTAGTTAACAGCCTTCGATGCTGCGGTCGTAGCCGATGCGATGACTTTAAGGCGTGTAATATATGAGTGATAATCTTCTAAAATTATTACAAGCGCAAGATACAATCTACATATTCCGCAACAGTTTCCGAGATCGCAAATATGCAATGTATTGTATCGCGCCTATGCCGCGTTCGAATCTGTCGTGGGCTTCAACGTCAATAGAATCAAAATTGTTCCCTATCTTGGGGCTTCTCCGTGTAGTAAACGTATTAAAAGCTGCCATGTGAAGCTGCACACCGACGTAATACAAGTTTCTACAAGCCCTGAAACTACTTGATCCCATTATATACTAACTTTTGTCGAGGCGCGCTCTATAAAAAATACGATCGATAAAATGATGTAGGTATATGATACATTGCTTCGGGTCTACGAAACATAAATATCTTATATCATTGTTTTTTTCCTATGTTATATTTCTATAAATATCTTACATTTGGATTTTTTTTATTTGTTTTACGATGGTAAAAAAACTTTGGAGTCAAGAAAAATTTTCTACGCGTAAGACGATCAAAATCATTGGTTCAGTAACCGATAACATTTCACGTCAGGCTATATTCCAGGCCTCGGTACCGTTTCTCGGCGTTTTTTTTCATAATAATGCTTATTGTCGCGAGTAATCTCTTGCGAGTCGATTATCTCCCTCATGAAAGTTGAAGGAACGCTTCGGTAAAGAATAGTGTACGCACACAGATCGTATACTCAAGTAGATTATGACAAAGAAAAATATGTTTTTGTACGCGCCACCCTTTCAAAAGAAGGTTTGATAAAACGTTTTAGATTATTGATTATTATTGCATATATGCACAAAGAAGAATGAGCACATTTCGCAACGAATAATGCATTTATCGAGACGTAAAAATATATATTATAATTCTGCACGTATGTTTTATATAAATCTTGAATTTTTTAAACTGAGAAATACAGAAATAAATTTTTTCCGTAACAGAAGATACGTAAGCTTCTTTATATGTTACATGTATAATATTTCGAGTACGATAATGCAAGCGAGCAGAATAAAGTACAAGATTGAGATACGAGATCAAAGAGCGCATTGAATATATTCTTCCTAATTTTTCAACACGTCATAAATTGCAACGTGTGCAGAAAAGAGAGAAAAATGAACACGTGTTTAAAGAATAATTATTATTGTCAGAGGTTATCGTGTAGTTTGAGATCTCGATGTGGAAGATGCCGCGAACCCATATATTACGCGTATATCGCGTGCATTTACAAGTAGTGCATTGGAATAAAGAATTGCGATAAGCAATGTAATGATTACATCCGGTGTGCTTTTACTTTTTCGCGATATTGATATATATATTTATTGATGACGGCTCAACTTTCGAATATGATAACATTGCGGAATCCCGTCGCTGATTGTTCAATTGTGCATAATGATATTTTTTACACTTGCAAATCAGTAGGGTCATTCGGACAGTGTTCCAGAGATCGAGACCGGTCATGCATACATTATCATAGAGTATGCACGATAGAATATGCAAATTATCGTCTAAACACTGGCGTACACTGCATCGCAATTTTTTTTCTTGCTTTATTTAGATTCCTTGCCGCTTCGTTTATTTGGATTTTTTACGATTGTCTCGGGCAGGTTTTTTTTGCGATTTCCCGTGTATGAATTAATTGTTCTATCCGGACGTTTCCGAGGCGCAATTTGCTTCTTGGATCTAGAATATGACGTAAGATTGTCGAAGCGATGTATGTCACGTCGACCTTGAATTTTCATCGCGTGCCAAGATTGCGTTCTCTGGCGAGCCCCGTCGATCAATTATATACACCTGCCACTTGGTTCAGTCCCCGATCCGGTAGCTTTCATCCCACAAACTCGTTAATTTTAGCGTTAACATTATCGCTACATAAGAAGAGAATACTTTTTTTAACTATCTCGCTCGTACTATGATCGGAAACAGGTTAAAGCTTTAAACTGCTCGCGTCTTACAATTCCATTCGCGTTTTCGTTTTACGAATTAAGTGGAGTCTCATTAAATTCTCGGATTTTGCGAATTGCTGAGTCGCATGCGCTTCCGGACGTCTGATAATCATCAAACGATCATGCATCGATTCTCGTTTAATCGTAGCACGCGCGGCGATTTAAAGAAAATGAAAAATCTCTTTGATGAAATTAAAATTGAAATTACACACGAAGTGAAATAAAACGGTTTTTATTTTGCATTCTAGAAGGAAATAAATTGTTCTGTACTTTTCTCGTAATATTATACATGTAATTTATGTAGCGCATAATTTCGAAAAATGTATTACAATCTGTACATAATGTAATTGTGTCTGCGAATTTCGTTAGACTGACATTAGGGAAGAGATAAAATAAACTGAAATAACTTGCAAAGTTAAATGTTTAATTAAATAAAATGTTGAGGTTATATATATATATTACGCTGGATTTTTAGGCAAATATAATTTCATACAGATAATACGAACTCAATTTTAAAATAATGCGTCTTTTTAAAATATTATTTTTTCCGTTACATTTTTATATTAATTTCTATCGATGACAAATTTCAATTTCCAGAGGTTCGAAATTGATATCTGTGGGACTTTTGCTCAAATAAAATTTCTTTCACAAATGCAGTGAAATGAAATTTTATATATGTACATGAAATAAAACACTACTTTACTATTGTTATGTGTTATTTAAAAAGTATTGCACAGAGTTATTTCAGTTTAATAAGATATTAAGCGCATGCAAAAATTTCTATCATTGACTAAAAATATTGTATTATTTATAAGATATTATTAAAGAAAATTGGCTTAAAAACAACGGAAGCTTTTGCATATCTTCTTAATACATATTTATTCCATATTATTTGTACTAACAATAAATTAATTTCCATGTTAATTGTTTGTTTAACAGATGTCGACCTCCAGACTCAGATCGACGCCTCACTGGCTATGCCAGCCACTTATCAAACCGTTTGTGCTCGTGCTCATTTAGCTCAACAATGTTGCGGTCTAGCGCGAGAACAAACAAAGATCTGCGAGAGGCTGGTTCACGATCAGCATCTTCAACAACAAGGTTGGCAGCGGTAGTTGCAAATCTCGAGGATATCACGCAAATGTTTCAATCCCGAGCCGAGCAATTTCAACAGGCCTTTGTCCTGTACCTCGCCGAAAGGCAACAACATATGGAGCTCCTTGACAAGTACGATCTTTTATTATATCTATTCTATTGATGTGTAAATACGAAGAAAACATCACCCTTTTTATCTTTAATCTTGTCTGAGTTTTTATTACTCAGTCGCTCTTCAATTGTAAATCAAATTGTCATGAATTATTGGCAGAAATTTGTAACCGACAGTTTAAGCTAGATATATCGCTACCATTAATATAAAAAATAATTAATATAACATCTGCTTTCTTGTATTCGATAGATTTGATGCCGACCGGTGCGGTAATTAAATAATATTGAGAGCGAAGATTGAGAGCGGATTCGGGGCGCGTTGCGGGTCATTAAGCAAATTTTTTTCAATGAGTTACGTGCCCATAGAGCTACCGTAACGTAATACTACTCTCAATAATTACTTTAATTACAATGGGATATAATTAGCATTGAATCTACATTTTAATTATTATAGCTTCGATTATCATGTTTAATCGTCGTCGTTCCGATTACCATTGGTTACATTGCTAATGAGTATTTAATTGATCCTCTGTAATTTCATCCAAAGATATGCGGGCTAAAATGCACCGGGCAATATTCGACAAACGTACAAATACAGATGGAAATATTGTGTGATTAACATTAATATTTAAAATTGAATAATATCGAATATTCAATAACATCCTCAGATTTTTATATTGAATTTTTTAATTGGATATTTAAATTCATATATTTTGTAAGTATGGCAAACATATATGCAGGTGAAAAAATGAGTATCAATATCATTACAGCTTCAGCGCCGATCTCGGTACCCTCGCAAAAATTCCTATTCTACCGGCCTTACGAGCGCAAGCTGAGGGCCTGCTGAGTCTGGATGACCAGCCTAGTCATTCGTCCGAGTCCGCGTCGGAGGACTCCGGGGAAGTGCTAAGCCTACTTCGATGGATCTCAGCGAAGGACAATCAGAGCAGCCTAGAGCAAGTGGCGGATCAGTGCTCGCGCGGCTTGGAACAGTTTGACGAACGGTTAATGCAGGCCCTGAAGGCCGAAGTAAACACGGCCATCGACAACGCTAACAAGCAGGAGATGAAGGAGATCAAGGGTTTGGGCGAGAGATTGTTCGCCCTGGAACAGTTGATGGTGCAGACCAAAAGGCTCGTTCACGAGCAAGGCGAGCTGGCTCAGGGTTTCCTACAGAATCAGAATCGTGCTACCAATCTGGGTGACGCGAGCGTTCTGCCTGATCTCTGCACCTCCCATCGCCGACAGTTGGTTGTCATGCTGCAGAATCACAATCAGCTGCGCGACATCCGTCGTAGATGCACCAAGGCGAAGGAAGAGCTCTCGGTGAATATCTATCAACGACTCAAGTGGATCATGTACGTAGAGAACAAGATGGTGGAAGTGGGCAACAAGCTGATCATATATCACGAGAGTCTAAAGCGGTTGAGGAGGCACCTGGAGGTGCTTCAGCAAATCCACTTGGCTCCACAGATGTACATAAGCGCGGTGGTCGAGGTGGTCAGAAGGCGCACTTTCTCACAGGCTTTTCTCGTGTGGGCGAGTAACCTCGCGTGTCAGTTGCTGACGGTTCACAGCGAGGAGCTGGCGCGTAGGCGAGAATTTCAGAGCAAATTCGACGGCCATTTCCTCAACACCCTTTTCCCCGGTCTGGAAGACACGCCGCCGCCGTTCGCGACGCAGGCGCCTTCCGTTTTCGACAACGAACTACCCAAGGTGCAAGATTTTGATAATTATCGTCTGAACTGTCACTTGGCTCGCATAGTTTTGAATATTTTTCTACTTAACGAATATTTCGAATATTTTAGCTGACCGTGGACGACATGGAATCACTGAGATCACAGCTTCCGGATTTGGCGCTCGCAATCTCCACGCCAAATTTGAATAGCATCACACAATTTTTCTTATCCAAGAGCTTCACCGAAGGCAGCACCGATGACAACAAGGAAAAAGACGCCACGTCGGCGAGCACTGACATTCCCGCGAAGGAACAAGATCGGGCTAGAGTGCCGATGTTATCCGACAGGTGAGCGTATCGTTACGCATACGCCATAAAAGGAATCACCGCGAATGTAACGTGTGTAACGTACCGATTTTCAGGGGTGGCTTCGAATCCGAAACTGATACGGAGGAGTTCGAGAAGATCGGTCAGGCCGGCGTGGACGCGACTAAACCCAGCGTGTTCGACGGGGCGAAACAAAAGCGGCAAAAGCAATTGGAGGTTGGTGCCTCTCGAAGCGTGTCCCCTGCTTCCTCGACCTCAACTAACGTCTCCCCGCTAAACTCGAAAGTCGCGGATCTAACAACGCGTTCGTCCACGTCAAGCGAACCCGGCTCTTTCCAATTTCCCAGCCTGTCCGTCGCAAGCGAGCGCCCGGCGCAGCTGAGTCCGCTGACCGAATGCGTGGAAAACGGCGCCGCCGACTCTTCCGTTTGCTTGCTCCGTAGTGGTGCGAGCGGCCTCTCCAACTATCGCGACGTCCTGCCGCTCGAGGAGCAGCATTCCCTCAGCCCGAATCCCCCTTCCCTGACACGGTCCTCCGTCATGTGCGACGGCCAGCACCAGCATCAGCATCCGTTATCCGGTAGCGGCGGTAGCAGTCCCTCTGTCGGCGTGGGCGCTACCGACTTCATGGGTACCGAGTTTTACATGGACGAGTCCCTACCCAGCAGCCTCAGCGAGCATCCCGCCGACGGCCAGCATCAGGCTATCGTATCCCTCCTTCAGGTACTGGACGACTTACAGCTCCCTAACAAACAACTCCCGTAGTCGTAGCCACGTAAAACGTCCCGTAAAACATCGTCTTCGTTCTCCGTCGTTTACCTCTTGTGCTTTAAAATGTACAACACTCTTCTTTCTCTTTATTCTTTCCTTCCTCTATCCCGCATCAGACATCGAAAGTATTACTCGGTACTTGGATGTACTTGTAGTTGATTCGTTTTTCTTGTTTTATTATTTTTTAGATGCTTAGGTTATTGTTATCTTCGTCTTACTTTAATAAGCTATTTACACTGACTGTATGCAACTAGATCCCGTGAGACGTGAGTATGTATGTTGCCTTGTTGTATCCCGCAACTACTAAATCGATCGAATCAAAATTATTACACTTTCTAATTTTTGTATCGCTTACTCAATTATAGCGGCATCCAATAATAGACGTGTATATATGCGTGCATCTTGATTTTTTACAGGATAGCTGGCGTCGCACTCGTTTCCTAATCCCTTGAAGCCACACACTTCCCTTCAAAACCTATTGAATTCATCCACACGATCGCTTTTAAAAAGAATACATCCGTTCTAAACGAAAATTGTTGCAATTCTTTGCGTAAATTGGATATCATGATTCAAAATTTAAGAACAAGGGTGGAGTTTTCTTCCCGCGCGAATTCTTCTTAACTTTTCACAGAGTTGAGGACAATTCGTTTCATAAAATATATTTTCGAGTATGCTCATCGAAATATCTCGGTACTTGTTGTTTATTTCAGGAGAATCTTGGTAACACGCGTGAAGAGGTGGAAAGGTTGCGTTCCATTCTGAAGACTATGAAGGCAGTCGTACGCGAGGAACTGACTTCTGTTCGAAACGAATTGGCGATTTTGCGAGATCAGTCCAACGATGGTAAGAGCCTCACTGAGATGACGGAGCGCGTCCGAGTGGCGTTATCTTTGTACTCGCAGGATTGTGATAGTCGTTTGCAAGAGCGCGAACAAGAACTCACGATTGAACACGAGTTCAAGATGGCAGATATTAAGAAACTAATGCAGAATCACGAAGAAGAAATATGCACGCTGAAACGAAATCTTTTAGAAAAAGAGACAGAATTGGCGGAGCACGAACGGTTAGTGGCCACAATGCGTCAAAAGCTGGAGGACGAACAAATGGAAAAGAGAAATTTGCAGAGTCGTCTACATCAGCAACTTGAGGATTACTCAAGGATATTAGAGCAAACGCGTTTAGACAAAGAAGAAGCTGTGAAAAAGACGAATGACGAGAGATTCCTCGAAATCACTTCCTTGACGAATTCTCTCGCGCAATGTCAGAAGCGAATTCAAGAACTGGAAGAGAATCTGGCCACTGCTCACAGTGATCAAGAAAGAATAGTGAAAGAGACAACTGACAAGTTCCAAATGGAATATAAAACAGAATTAGAAACTATTAGGAGTCGTTTCAAGCTAATGGCTGCTTCCACCATGGAAAGGAGTCCCAGCGATTCTAGTCTAGAAAAAATTGAAGTAAGTAACAGTGTTTTTGACTTATTATTGAAAATCAAGTGGACAGATGTGTGAGAATATTGTTTTATTTTTTTCAGCGAACGGATGTTATCGAGCTTGTGAATCATGAGGCGATTCTAGCGCAAGCAAAGGAAGATATGAAAGTAGAAAGCGCCATGGCACTTCGTACCGCTATTGAGAAAGAGAGGGCTGATTGCATGGCGAAATTGGATAACGAATTAAGATTGGCGAAAGAAGTGGTCGAAGAGAAGAACAGAGAGATAGATCTGTACAGAGTGAGAACGGCTGCATTGATGGAACAGGGCAAGCATTACAAGAACACAATAGACCGATTGATCGAAGAATTTGAATTCAAATCTGATATACAGCAAATATTGAAGGAAAAGGTACGGTATCGTATATATTATTTATATGTATGTGTGATACGAGATGATTGAAAAAAGGAACGATATAACGAGAAATATAGTATTTGCAAGAATAAAAAAAGATGGCCTATCAACATAAATTCTTTCTTTCTAAATCACTCTTTGTATTTTCATATTGATTATTATATTATTATGATTTCTCTATTTAATTATGTATCTTTCTTTTATGCGTAGATGAAAAATCTTGAAACGGACAAAGCACGGCTAGAGAGTGAAGAATCTGCAGAGCGAACGGTCTTAGAACAAAACGAAAACATTGTGTATCCCATAGAAGCTGCAGCATGCAAGGACCCGAGTTACGATCGGTTGACTGCCAGTCAAGTCGGTTTGCAGGAAGTCTTCAAGGATGTCGATACCGACAAATACGACGTCGAAGTCTCAGAATCGAAGAAAGTACGATTGGAGGCTGGTGACGACGATTTGACTCGGCTGTCCAGGCGACTTGAATCTCTCGAAAACGATAACAAAAGATTATCCTGCGAGTTAAAGACGATACGCGCGAGTAAAGTAGTGGCCGAAGCGAAGGTGGAGACATTAAGGACGGATAAGATTCGTTTGGAAATCGAGTTGCTGAACGAACGAACCAAGAGTATATTTGGCGTCGAGTCGATGCCTACGGAAAGTCGCGACAAGGAAATGAATGCATCGGTTGCGATAGTTACGGACTTAACTTCAAGTCGAGACCAGGCTACCAGTCCAGAACCGAGTCGACGACCATCTTCCAAATCAGCTTCCACCCTTATACGCTTGCACCCTTCTTTTCCCGCCTACATAAATAAGAAAGTCGCGGAAAAGATGGACAAGATGGTGCAACAGGGAATTGCCAGTGTCACCAGTTGCAATGCAGGCGATGTAGTTCTCGTTTTTTGGGATGCAGTACACGGCAACTACGCGGTGTATCAGGAATCTTCAACTCTTTATTTTCTTCATTCAGACTATGTGGGCGCACTGGACATAGAGATGAACCCGAACAGTTCTCGGAGGTGCGTTCTCGCGGAAGTGATCGACAAAGAATATTGTCATGCAAGAAAGGTAAGGCTTGTTGACTATTTAGTGAGTTTCAAGCTTATAATATTAAATGATATCGTTTTGAGATAATAAAAAAATTTTCGTTGTTAATCTTTTTCTAGCAGGAAAATCGGTACCATGTTCCACGTGGTACAAAATTCTACAGAGTGCGCGCTAAACCACGAGATGGACGCGCACTGATTGACGAGACGGGTTCGATGTCGAAAAGTCAACTACCGTAATTTTACGTTCAGACTAAGTGTCGAGAATCCCTTGATTCTTGCCTAGTACAAGCGCTGTGATCGAGGGTTTGCGACGGCAGGGCCGCGTTCGTTAGGGGACCAGCGACCCGGAACGCAAATCCCGAACTTACGTCTCCGCAACCATCCGGAAACCTCGGATCTAGGCCAAAACCTGCCAGAGCCTCTAGACGCATCCTTGATATCGATGACATGTGATGGGGTGATGATACACGGAAAGAGGTATGCGCAAGTTGGGTAACATGAAATGAGACGGAAGGATGCGCCGGCGTTTTATTGTGATATAAGTAATTTTTAAACGAGTGAAACATATTTGCCGAATGCTGTGGTTAGCTGTGAAGCATAACGATATTTGTATTCTTCGATTTTCCTTTTTTCATAAACGAAAAAACAAAGGAATGTGAGTGTTGATTCTCTCTTTCAATAATTTGATAGGCTGACCAGTGTGTGTGTGAGAGAAAGAGAAAGAGAGAGAAAGATTGTTTAACTTCAGTAGTACAATGCGGGAAGATGAGAGCGTGTCTCTTGAGACAATGTTCAGCTCTTCCTCTCTCCGCATTTTGATGATTATCTTTGCACTATGAAAAAAAATGTAGCTATAAGTTTTACAAAACGAAGGTATTGTGCGAAATATGCGATTTGTGTATTATAAATATACACAGTATCAGATAAATGTATTCGAACAAATGCTTTATTTTCATATTTTCAATGCCTCTTTTACTAGTATTAATTGACTAATTTATAGAGAAAGAAAAAATGAATAAATTATCTCGGTAAATGTGTGAAATTTTGATAAAAAATATATGTGTCAATAATAAATAAAAAGTATTCAGGAATTTAATATTAACAGAATTAGCAAAAAAATCATCTATTGGCATAGATTTACGAAAATAAATAACAAAATATTGCCCAAAATGCATTTGTAATTGTAATAATGTTCGTAAAAGTATTAAAATAGAAAAAAGCAAATATTGTCCAAATACATTTGTTTGGTACTGTATATAACCGTATCAGATAATACGTAGAATGCATATATATATATATATATACCATTATACGAGGCGTGCAATATATCCGCGTACGGAAATCTCGTAAGTCCTAAGACGGAGCTAAGATTTTGTAAAGTGGAAACTGTCTCGTGACCGTGTTGTGCAATTTCGCGAATACACCTAACACATTCAGTTTATACGAAAATGCTATCGCACTAACGCGATTGTATATTTCCGATGATTCATTCGACAATGCCTTGTGTGAATTTTCTTCGCAAATCGTCTTTTCATTTATCTCTTTATACTTTGATTTCTCTTCTCTTGATACTCTTTATAATCATTTTGTAGTATCTACGGAGAAACGTGAGTCAATGTTTCATTTTGATAGAGTGGAAAAAAACAAAAGCTACAATATCATTTACTTTGTACGCAATTTTCAAATATTAATTTAAGCAATGTCCTATTGTAAAGCTGACCTGAAAGAGAGGCGCACTCTGAGAGGCGTAGAATGTATTTTATAAATGTACACATACCACGCATGTATATAAATTTTTTTCTATTGCGTTTGACCGGTGTCCATGTGCAAGTATGCTCATCGTTTACATATGAAGAGACACTTGCAAATGATTGCTCCTAATCTCTTAGTTATATTATATCATTGTATTGTTAAGTATCGCCACTATCATTTTTTTGCGACGCATAAACATTCGTAGTACAATAGCTGTGATTGTTAGCTTCACTTTCTCACTTCTATTTAATTGTTAATTAACTTAATTCCTTGCGGTGTCGAGCGATGATTCGTTCTTTGTTTGATCGAAAATGAACTTGTGAATATTTTCTTTCTTTTCATAAAAAAAAAAAATAACGTGAAACCAATTCTCTCGATCTTCAAAGAACAATGATCATCGTTCGTTCGCGACGATTTCAAATTGGTGCGAACTATGGTAAAGCACCAGTGAAAAGCGGTTTGCAAAGTATGCTGATACGTAAGATAAACCGTTCCGTAGAATATCGAGCTATCTCGAGCTTCTCTCGAGGGAACGATACATTCGCTTTCGGCGTATTGCAAAGTAGCTAGTAATTATTAAATTACTCTTTCGTCTTCAACGCGAATGCACCGCGTACACCGCATATGCGCGCGCGCAAGACGATTGACTTGTATAACGCGGCTTTCCGAGGGTGGATGGGCGAAAATTTTCCTCCTCTCTCAGGAACACCGTCTCTACCTTCATCATCGTTTGTCACATGAAATCGCACACGGAGGAAAAAAGTGTTCTTCTATAAGGAAATAATGCGATCACTGTGTAAAGAAACGATGACAATAGTAACATGTTTTACTGCCATCGCGATGAAATTACTTATACAATTCGAACTGTAGAATCGATCTCTGTATGCGATTTTCGTGTAAGTTTATGTGCACCTACGGTTCCTATTACACCAAACTTCTTCGTAGGTTCGATAACGCCATGGATACACGATGCACTAAAACCCTGCAGGCACGCAAAGCTAGATACCACGTTGCTTCGAACTGAATATTTTTCGATAAAGCTCACTTATTCTCGTACTTGATATGCTCTCTCTTTTTTTTAGATATATTTATAAATTCGTGACACCAACAATGTAACTGTTGAAAAATGTGAGAAACGCGAGTCAATGATTCTATTCATTGCATATATTTGGAAATAAATAGAGTTTTATCAATTCTTACAAGAGAAAAAGAAGCAAAACACATTTGCACATACGCAATCTACGTCCCTTTCATACTTTCCAAAAATTACGTTTGGAAATTATCCAAGAGCGGAAATTTTCAAAGGGAGAAAATCTTGTTAGAAACATGTGTATATAAATGTATCCGCATACGATACCGTGATATTAATTTGCACCAAACTTGTAACTCGAGAAATGGTGAAAAACGTTCAACTGGGACGTCGAGAAGCGGTCGCTCGACGTCGCAGATTATATTTTTCGCTAAGAATCTCGAGACTAAACTCTAAGTAAACTATGTGAAACTGATGTAATCTTGTTGCGTACCACATGACACAAGACAAAGTGCGACAGTGTTTTAAAATGCAAACTCATAATTGACTAATTCCAATTTTTTATTCTTAGAAAAAAAATACTCTAACAAATTAAACCTTGAAATATTTTTCGAAGAAAGTAAAACGAATTTTTGCACAATTTAGCGACAGGCTGTAACAAACTATTAAGTTATCAGCCTTATTTCGATTTTATTAAATTAAGAATTTAAATATCACGTTATCATCGAAGTATTTCAAAAGTGCATCATCGAAATGCTCGTATTTCTGATAGAAGAACAGTCGATCTTGCTCGACTGAAAAAATTGATACTACCATTATTAAATTTACTGTTGCAACACCTGATAGTATAAGAGAATGAAACTATTTCGATGAAAAGAAACAACATTAGATTAGCAATACTTTTGGAAAGAGTAAGCATGAAATAAGAAAATGATTTGTCTCCGTAATCTTAAATTAGCGCAGTTTATTTTGTCATATACCTAAGATTAAGATATAGCTGTAGGAAAGCTTCAATTTGTATGATTAAGGTTTTTTAACGACAAATTTAATGTTTCTAAATTAGTGATTGGAAATTAATTGTAAATATTAAAGAGATCGAGTTCACGTCATTTCCGCTAATTTTCAATTAATGAATTAAAATTAATTTCTATTATTGAATTAGAATAAATTGTCAAAAAACTACGAATAATGAGTGTTTGTTAATTAAAGGGGACACTTGTCTTTCATGATCGAGGAAATTACAAGGGACAGAAAGTCAATCACCAATCAAGCCAACGATAGTGTTTTGATCGAGCTTAAAAATCATAAAAATCATAAACATGTGCATAATATTATCTATAAACTTGGCTGCCGTGATTTTAGACACGAAAGCAAACCAATCCTCTTTTTTGAGTAAGCCCATACGAATCTCGACACCGAAGGAAATCTTTAAAATCTCTACGCGCGTTTTCCTCTTCCTCTTTCTTTATTTTTTCGGTAATTCTTCCTAATAACGCATTATTTGAAGAAAAAAAACTCTGCAATTGCGCGGACGAATTTTACACATCATCACTATTCATGTGTCCTGTTACGTTCGCCATTTGCGAACACTCTCGTAAAAACTCTATCTCTCATAAAGGATAAGTAAGGAAGATATTGCGCATGTGTAATCGAGAAAGTGTAACGCGTAGGCATATGATAATAATAATAATATTGCATTACATACATAACAATTGTGATCGTGAGAGTATCTATTGCGAATAAAAATCAGTTACAAATAAATCATGTGACCTTTTTCCAAACTAGATCGACTGGTCTAATTTTTAATCTCACCCGATCCTTAAAATCGTTTAGCTTGATAAAAAAAAAAATTGAAAGATGCCTAATAAACAAATCTAATATCTCGAATAACATGTAAATTAGCAAAATATTCTAGTAAAGTACAACTTATATTTATTTATGAATAGAGAATATAAGTTAACAGTTGAATTTAATTTCAAAATGAATGAACACATTTGCAATAAGTAATCTACCATCGCCAATTGTCACGTATATTGTTTTGCTTTTGTTAAGCTTAGTGCAAATTATAGTAACTATTTATAGTAACATTTTACACATTGACGAACTATATTACAATTAATATAACTGGACAATAAAATATACATATAAATATATATATGTTTTAGATTATACATATTTTTTGATTGTGCATTATTCCCACCTTTCTAATTAAAATTGAACACAATAGTTAATTAATTTTGAAAATAATTCAACAATTATAGAATTCAAAAGACATGCTATGTGCGTAATATAACAATAGCAATCAGATATATTCAGTGACGAGGATGAAATAATTTATAGAGAGAAATTTTATAAAAATAAAATCAAATTCAAAAAAAATTGTCATTAGATGAAATGACTTATTTATGAATTATTTAAATTAAATATGTTAATGTTACTTTAATCATACTTCTTTTATGGACATAGAATCATTTAGTTGAAATTGTCAATATTTAATGTAGCAAAAGTTCATTAATTATCGTGCATATATACACGATATCAAAGTGCACATATCAAAGTGTATCAATAAGTAATGTTAGACAATAGAAAATAAACTCACTACAGAACGGCTTTCTCTTTGTTATTCATTTTAATACATATTACCTGTTTTCAGTAAATTTTGCACTTAATCTTTTACGTAATATTGATTTTCATTTCAAACAGTGCAGGGTATAAATTATGTTATTAATACTTGAGAAATTGTATTATCTTATTCTGTCCTAGTTAATAATAATATGAAATATAGTTAATCATTAAATAATCCCAATAAAAAAAATAATATAGTAAAATAGACTCACCGAAATGCAGCAAATGCAGCTATACGAAACACTTGAACATCCTGAAAATATGCGAAACATTCATAAATATTGGCAGTCACATTGTTTAATAGAAATAAACAAAAAATATTTTTAAAAAAACAAAAAATAAATAAAAAAATTTTTTTAATTAGAAATGCAGTAAAAATATTAAAACATTTTTATATGTCATAACTATAACTTTAAACAAACTTGTATAAAATATAAAGAAAGAAAAATATGAATATAACTAAAATATAGAAAAAATTAATTTTTAATAATAATTACGTAAAAAATAATAATCATAAGTACATGTTAAAAAATAAGTTATACACGTTCAACGAATACATTTACTCACCATCGTTGTCCGCAGCACAGTTCCCGCTGACGACGAGCTTCCTCTACTCCTTGGCACTGGACTTATTCAATGAATAAACGCACTAATAAAAGCAGCAGTAATAATTCACTAATCCCGGCACAACAATATTTTCACGACAACTCAACACTCCCGAATAAATATTAAAATACATGTTTCGATTTCACTGGAATCGCGAAGGAAACTAGCGGCGCGGTCAATTACGACGGATACGACCTGCGAATTTAAAATTCTGCAAGTCATAAGACGTTATGACGTCACATCAAGGGTGCCAAATTTAATAAATTACAAAGCGCTGTGGTGTTACGGCAATGGTACATTTTAACAACCAAATTTAACAAATTATAAAACGCTGTGACGTCACGTGAGAACCAATAAAACGTTTCGAACGAATAAATATGAATGTCTACTACCCCTAATCACTTATAATTCGGTATTTCTAAAGCTTACGATATGCTTTTGATGATTGAAATTTGCGAAAATTGCCATATTAACAGCGCTCCTCTTGCGGTACAAAAACCGTCAATGTTGTATTAAACTCATGATAGATGCATCATGAACGAAGAAGAAATATGCATGCTCACAATATCTAGCTTCTCGGTGCAGCATTTTTGATACATCTCTTCACTCGCGGCGATACCTTCGATGGACGAAACTCGGAATTACAGAGGACATTCAGGATATTTATCCCGCTCGTTCCAACTCGCGTTTCGTATATAATCGAGACTCTAATAACGCGACGAAGCGTTCGAAAATCTACAAGTTATAAGACACTGTGATGTCACAGCAAGGGTACCAAATTTAACAAATTATGGCCGCTTTTCAACTAATGACACTTGTATCGACTTGTGTCATTGACTGAAAAGCGGCCTATAAGTCGCTATGACGTCACAGCAAAGGTGCCAAAATAATAAATTATAAAACTGTGCCGTCATAGCAAAGATACCAAATTCAAAAATTATTAAGACGTTGTGAAATAACATAACAAATGCTACAGAAATTACAGGTATAAAAACAAGAACTGCGCAAGCCTTGATAATTTTTGCAATAATTGCAGGATTGGGAAGTAACGCGTTACTTGTAACGCCGTTACCGTTACAATTACTTTTTTTCGGTAACTGTAACGGTAACGGCAGAGAGAAGACTGAGAGTGGACATGCCCGCATTTTACGTGTTTCTGTGGGCTAGCGCCACTATATGCACAAAACGTGCACATTGAACTACGTAGCCAATGTCCAAGAATCCCGTAGGTAATGTCCACGATCTTTTGGGTCTCTTCCGTGCTACGTCCACGACTTTTTGGTTCTGATATGTGCTATATCTACAAAGTGTCGATAATGCATACTTGTAAAACATGATTATGTATATCAATCAGATTTGAAATAATACACACGTATTGTAAATACATGTATTGTAGTATTTACTTTTGCATTTACAGTTTATTTAGCAAAAGATCAGTTATTTTCAATAACCTGTGTAATTTGAAAATGTACATTTAAATTATTTTAATAAATTACTTCTATAATTTTGTGTGCGTGTGCGTGCGTGCGTGCGTGTGTGTAAATAAAGTATGGCATTTTTGTTAATATTTAAAAAGATGATAAACTCTTATAAGAGTTAATAAATGTCCTCTAAATGTCCACTCTCAGTCTTCTCTCTGGTAACGGCGTTACAAATTTTTTTTGTAACGAAAAAAGTAACTTTGTTACATTTTTCGGTAACGAGTAACGAATTTAACAGTTACTTTTATCGTTACATTTTTCAAATTTACTCTATATATCCACGAATTTATAGAAAAACTAACAATAAGAAAACTTTTTAATTTATACAAATAATATTAAGATTTTGCTTTTTTTATTAAAATAATAAAAGTGAAAACAACAAACTAATAGAGCAGGAGTCGGATAGAATTGCTCAAAAGTTCATTTTATTAAAGAATTATTACAAACGTTTCGGCATAAGGGATGTGGTCATCTTCAGTGTAAAATTGACAAAAATGATGCACGCTCATTATCATCCTATTTGTTACACAGACGCTCCTGAGTCAAGGCTATCGGCGGCTTGGCCGCCAGCGGCCTCGCGGTAGTGGGAGTGCTGGAGGCGTCGTCTCAAGAATCGAGCCGAAATGTGGGGCTAACGCCGAGCTCTGACATAAATGATAATGGTATCGTGACATAACACGATTAAGCGCTACGGTAATCGACGGTTTATGAGCAAATTATGTTTTTGCATAGGTTTGCAATGTTAGATTTTACTCATAATGCGTTATAAATGAACAATTATTGCATATTTTAGACTTATTTCAATACGCGGCAGTTGAAACTTATTAATGTTGCAATATAATTTTTATGTAATCGAAAACTTGCTCGCGATGTATAAGGTTAGGAAGCTGTGTGATGTAAAATAATAGTTATTATATGTTTTAGATTTTATTTCTATACTTACCATGCATTTCTATGAAGAAACATGTATAATAATAATTATTATTGATTATACTCATCGAGAATTGCAAGTATAATGGCAAAAACTTCTAGCTTTCATACTGCATAAAAGTTATATTTGATAATTGTTGAATATTCTAAAAGGAAATAGGTATATTGCTATAACATGTACATTAATATCTTTTTATGTGATACCATAATACTAATTTGCATCTAATTTACAGCTTTGGGAATTGATAAAAAGCAATCTGTGAATTTATGATGTTAACAAGTGGCTATTTGTTGTTACTGATTATCATTTTTGCAGAAAATCTCAAGGTTCCACATTTGTATAATTTTGATGTAATCTTTTCACATCCATTGTGTGGCACAAGATAATACACAGAATATTGTAAATACAAGTATATAAATTATGTATGTGCAAGCATTGTGCCATATTATATTTAAAAGATATTTTAACAAACTATATTGTTACTTAATATTTTTTTCAAAGAAAATAAAAATAAAAGTATATTATTTATTAAAATGCTGTGTGATTAGAGTTAATTGGAAATTTGGAATTTGGATTTATTCAATAATGTTTGAAATCAATCTGTTGAAGAAGAAAATATAAAAAGAAATATAATAAAATTTTATATCAGGATAATACCATTATTAAATTTACTGTTGCAGAAGCTGTCTAAAATAACCAGAAACTTTTTTAATGAAAATAAATAGTATTGGCGTTGATTTATCAAGGTCAAACTTTTGGAAAGAAACTTGAAGTAAAGAGGCAACTTATCTTTATAATGATTTTAATTTATCGAGCTTAGTTTTTCTAAATAGATACAAATAAGTTGTATGACTTTTTTCAAACTATATTGATTTACAGGTCTTCCTGTTGATGTAAACTCTTCAGTTTTAAAAATCTGTGTTTATCCTGATTGAAGAAAACTTTGGAAATATCTGGTGAATGAACAAGTCCACTATCTTGAAGAGAAAATGTAACTGTCTTATATTTATTTATATAATACAAATGAGTAGAGCACAACGACCAAATATATTCTAATGAGGAATATAGGTGTGCGAGTCTTGGGGACATCCTGGTAACATGTTTGACGTATCCTCATCCATGGAGCTGCACAACATTCCGACCAGTGTGTAATCCACGAAAGGTGGCAGATCTAGGTCGGTGGTAGCTTGATCGCCATAATTATTGACGGACCCATGGACTGTTCCAGTGTTCATCATCTGAGGCATCCGTTCGAGAATCTCGCAAGTGTAATGGCA